TTTGAACAGAAACCGAAGGAGGTACTTTAGATTTTCTGCTTTTGATTCTGTCACACAGGGAAACTTCTCTATTTTTTTTTCCCAGAAAATTGCCTTTTTCACTGGAGTTTTCAAATTTGTCAGCAATGTCACATAATATCCTTTTAGATTTTTATTTTTAAAGTCTCTCTGTTTCTGTTATTCCCACCATTTCACCTTGTGTTTGTTTCTGCTTTCTTTTCTTCATTATGTTTGTCCATTGTATTATGTAGACCTCATTTTCACAAAAAGAAACAACTCAAAGGCACATGCATTAACTGGACTATGTTCCATTTTCTTAATTTATTCTTTTCTGCTTTTTGCCTGATCTCTTCCTTCCTCATCTTTCTTTTTTTCTTAAGATTTTATTTATTTGAGAGAGAGAGTATGTGCATGCATAAGTGGGGGGGCGGGGCAGAGGCAGACGGAGAAGCAGGCTCCCCACTGAGCAAGGAGCCCAGTGCCAACTTGATCCCAGGACCCCAGGATCATGACCTGAGCCGAAAGCAGATGCTTAACCAACTGAGCCACCCAGGCGCCCTTCCTTCCTTATCTTTACTTGGGGTTTTGTTTTCTGATATTTCTAAATTTGTGTAGTGAATATCTTGTTTAACTTTTTCTGAGTTTAATAGTAGAATCATCTTAAAAACCAAACAAATTTTGGAGGCAACTGGGTGGCTCAGTTGGTTGAGGTTCTGACTCTTGATTTCGTTTCAGGTCATGATCTCAGGGTCATGAGATTGAGTCCTTCATTGGGCTCTGTGCTCAGCAGAGTTTGCTTGTCTCTCTCCCTCTGCTCCTCGCCCCCAGTAAACAAACAAACAAATAAATAAAGCTAAATAAGTTTTTGAGTAGAACTTTGCACATACACTGTTGGTTTTCATAGATTTGGTTCTTCTTTGTGTTATTTTCCAAATTAACTCTTTATCCTTCATTTTCTCCTTTATCTAAAAGCTATTTTGGAGAATTTTAAATAGCCAATTAACATTCATTTCTAGATTTAGCGTATTGTCAACAAAGGATGTGATCCCTATGAGGTTTGTATTTCAAATTTATTGGGATTTTCTTTATGGTTGAAAATTCCACTTTTAAAATTATTTTGTGAATCCTGGAAAATAGGCTGAGTATAACTCACAGGCCCAAGCCAACAGTCAAAATATCTTCAGGAACTGGGGGAAAAGAGCAAAACGTGAACAGGAAGTAAGCTTCAAAGGGGAAGTGATTTTGATACCAAGAGGACAAATAACTGGCTTTTTTCAGTAACAACCGAAGGCCAGGCTCTGTGCGAGGCCCTTTGCATGTATTGTCTCATTCAGCAGTGAGGTAGGATGCCTCAGAGCGGGAAACTGCAGCGGAAGGAACTTCCTAAAGTCTGTTCCCCTGCTCAAAGCATGTCCCCCCTTGTTTGGCTGAGCAGATTCCCGCTTTTCTTTCAAGACTCATTTTAAACGTCACCACTTCTAGGAAGACTCCCCAGAGATGAGAGCTGGGTCCACCTCTTGTGCTCTTTGTATAAGTCATCACTAGCCTTACACGAGTCACCCTTGGTTGCCTGGGAGACCCTTGAGGGTGGCCGGCACGTTGTGGGTTCTCAGTAAATGTTTGTTGATGAAGCGAAGATTAAAGGCAAAAGAAGGAGACCAAAAAGAGAATTCCTGTCTGAAGATAAGGCACGGCAAAGCCGTCACCTTTTGGTACCTACCCCTCCCCTGTCCCTGCCGAGCAGGTGATGCTTGGGGGTTTATAGGTAATCATATTGACATTAAAAGCTCGTTCCATTTGCAGACTGTTTTGCTGTCTACACAGCATTCTCTTGCAGGCATTATCTCGTCTGATCTCCACGAACGTAGGTTGCCCTAAGCCCATTTTCTAGGCAGTGAAGCATTCAGAGACTGAGTCCGGCCAAGGTCACACAGCTGATAAGCTGCCACAGCCAAGAGCTCCTCAGATTCCACTTGTTGCCACGTTCAAACTTGAACTCAGGTCCTTCCTGACCTTCAAGCAGACACACACATACAACAAACACCCAAACACACAAGCACACCTTGCTGCCTTGGTGAAGACTATCAATTCCCCTCCTGTCCTGCTCATTATCATGGCTTCACAATGGAGTCTTTCTTTTCCAGACAATATGTTTAATTGATGCCTTAAAGGAAATTCATGAGAGTGAGCCCTGATGTTACAGGCTTATCTGTTCATCTGTTCTTAGGGACAGTAAACATTTGCTGAGCCCCTGTTATGAACAGAGCGCCAAGTCCTCAGCAGGCCCTGGACACTGTGACCCAGGGGTAGGCTGAGGAGGACAACTTGGAAGGACTTTCGGGGCAGCCCTGCTCGCAGTCCACCCACCACGCCCAGGCCTGCCTCCTCCTCCCCCAGCCTAGCAGTTCCCACCCCGCGCCCTCTTTATCTCCCTTCATAAAAAGCCCCATTCTCCTTTTGCACAATACACTTTCACAATAGATAGTCTATTCAACCCAGAGCCCAAATCATCAGCAACCAAAACGCTGGTTCCTCTTTCCTCCTAGGTCTTCAAACATTTCCAAGGGAGGAAAAATAATTGCATTCTGCAGAATTCACTTGCTGTTTGCTTGACAGTTTTCTCCTATGGAGTGGAAGCTCCTTGAAGGCCTGGCCTGTGTCTTTTCACCGTTGACTGTGGTGGGGGTAAGAAGCCTAGATCTCGCTCTCCAAATATCTGTTATTGTTTACAAATAGTGTCATCAACATAGAAATTTGTCAAATACACTAAGAGTCAAAGAAGGAAATAAAAATCGCCTATAATTCCCACAAACAGAAGTAATTTTTTAACTTGTTTGTATTTCCTTCCCAGTATTTTATGTGTGTTTTTTGGGATAAGTAAGTATGTATACATAAAATCATACAAAAATATAATCCTGACGCATATGCAATTTTGTATCTTGCTCAGGATGTTACAAACATTTCCCAGGTCATTAAATACTCTTCAAAAACATGGTTTTTAGAGGTGCCTCAGTGGCTCAGTCGGTTAAGCATCTGACTCTTTGGTTTCAGCTCAGGTCATGATCTCAAGGTCATGGGATCAAGCCCCGCATCGGGCTCCATGTTTAGTGGGGAGTCTGCTTGAGATTCTCTCCCTCTCCCTCTCTCCCCACCCATGCTTTCTAAATTAATTAGTTAATTAATTAAATCTTTTTTTAAAAAAACATGGTTTTTAATAGCTATATAGTATTACATCAAATGTGCATGCCCTAACTTCTTTAAAAATGTCCTCATTGTTTAGGTTATTTCCTTCTCCTTTTTTTTTTGTTGTTGTTGTAATTTTTGCCAACATAAATAATACTTTGATAAACATCCTTCACATGCATTTTTGTCCACCTTGCTAATTCTCTCAGATTTCTAGAATGAAAGTTACTGAATCAAAGTAACTTTTAAACTTCTCTTGATCTCTAATATCAACCAATTTTCCAGGCTTTGTACCAATGAGCCCTCCCATAGCAATACATGTCATCATTGTGGCTTTTATGTACTTACTTGTTTTTTGTTTTTTGTTTTTGTTTTTTTTTAAAGATTTTATTTATTTATTTGAGAGAGAGAATGAGAGACAGAGGGCACAAGAGGGAAGAGGGTCAGAGGGAGAGGCAGACTCCCCGCCGAGCAGGGAGCCCGATGCGGGACTCGATCCCGGGACCCCAGGATCATGACCTGAGCCGAAGGCAGTCGCTTAACCAACTGAGCCACCCAGGCGCCCTGTACTTACTTGTTTTTAACTGTTTGGTGACACTGGCAGTTTCCTGTTATGGTCAATGGTCTGTGTTTCTCTGCGCATATTTTTATTCTTATATTTATGCAAATAAGTCCTGTTAAGTTACATATCGGAATGAACTCATACAAATATGCACTCTTGGTCACAAGGACAGGGTCAGAGGAGGTGGATTATCTGATGCACCCCGTCATTACTCCTTGAAAAATAATCCTCAGATGTCAGATGTTTGCTCCACCTATCCACACAGACTTTCGATTTTCTTTGGGTTTGCCCTGGAAACCCTGGTTATTCCTAAATTGTTACTATACTTCTGAGGATTTTGAGTCATTGCCCATCTTCTGTGGGACCCCAGTCACTAATCTAGTTCTTGGTCCCCTGCCACTGGGCCAGTCCTTCAGGGGCCCCAGACCCACCTCTGCTTTCCACAGCTCCTTTTAAAGTTCAACCCTGGGGCCCGACACCTTCCACTGGCTGGATTCCAGTTGGGAGGTTTGATACTAAAAATTGAATATTAAATACTGCAAAGAGACTGGTGATACTTTTTTAAACGTCTGTTTGATTTTGTCAATGAAAGAAACGGATTTTAGGGCACCTGAGTGGCTCAGTCGGTTAAGCGTCTGCCTTCGGCTCAGGTCACGATCCCAGGGCCTGGGATCAAGCCCCGCATTGGGCTCCCTGCTCAGTGGGGAGTCTGTTTCTCCCTCTCCTCCCTGCTCAAGCTCTCTTTCTCAAATAAATAAATAAAATCTTTAAAAAAAAAAAAAAAAGGAAAGAAACAGATTTCAATATTCACCTGCTAATCTCCAAACAGTTACTCTGGAGAACACATCAATTGGAACAGTGAAGAGCTGTGTTTCATCCCTTTTCTCAGCTTACAAAATTCCTCAGATTTTCAGAGATGGATACAAACATTCTGGAAGGCCTGTGGCATGCATGCATCCTCCCTCAAGGAGACCATGAGGATGAGTACACCTCATATTAACAAACCCTCCTTCCCATTTCAGCTCTAGGCCGGCAACTATGGCATGCCCGGGAGAGGCCTCCGTTTGCTGCTTCTGCATCACAACAGCGATTTCTCCCTCTCTCTTGTGAATCTGGAGGCTTCCTTCCTGGTTTGGGGCAGGTCAGGGAATTTGGCTCAACAGTGCTGGGGTCTGACTGTGTGTCTAGGCTCTTGCTGGGAGCTCCTGACACTCACGTAGGCTTTACAATTTATGAAATGCAGCGTCGTGTGGGCCATGCCATACATTACTGCTTTTATTCCTCCCAACTCCCCCCAGAAGTGGACACTCCTGAAGTTTAAAGGAGTGTCAGAGAAGGAAGTGGGTCACCTGCCCCGACCGGTCGTCACCGGGAGGCAATCTGTGGAAAAAAAAAAAAAAAAAAAACACAACAGGGAGGTACATGGAGGGAACAGTTGCTCTAAAACAAAAGGAGAAAACAGGCATGCCGGAAAGGAACTCCCAACTGGAAGCTCTGGATTCAAAGTCTGGTTCAGCCACACCGCAGCTGTGGCCTTGGGAAGTTTGTTCTAACGTCTCTGTGCAACAGTCTCCTCCTAGGTAAAATGATGACCAGAATACGATGTCCACCTGGCACTCAGGTGCTTTATGTTTATCGGCGCGGGTCCATAAAAGTGGAAAACCGGAAACATCCCGCAGTGCAACAATTTGTTTAAACAAATGAAGATACACGCACACCATGGAATAGTATCATTCGTGAGTTATAATGTGGATGTTTATACACAGGGAAGGATATTTATGGCCTATTACTGGGTTGAAGTGGTTGTAATTCAGTAGGCATAGTGCTATGTCATTTTTGTTAATTTTGTAAAAATACCGTATTTACACGTATCATCATTCATCTGTTTAACAAGATTTACTTTGCACAGTTTCATCATGATGGGCATTTACATGTGGATATGTGGGTATAAAATGTCCAAGGATCTACACCAAAATATAATGTCTCTACAGGGGGTTCTTTTTCTATTGGGCTTAGCTGGTTTTCAAATTCTTTCACAATGAACTTGTGTCATAAAGAAATAATAGAGGTATAAAATGTTTACAATGCAGGAACTGGAACACCGGGGTCTGCCTCTATCCAGGGGGGCATTTTGCTGGTGCCAAGTTCATCGGCAGGTTACTTGGGGAATGAGGAACCCAAGCAAAGGCCTGAGAGGTTTTAAGAGATTTCATTCGGGCTCTGGAGGAGTCAATAATCTCTTTTTCTCCCTCTCTCCCCCTCGGTGTGAACGTCTGTGTCTACCTCTCTCCACTGAGCAAACACAGCCAGGTGTCTGCTCCTAGGGACCCTTCTGGATTTTATGAGGCCCCCTCTCTTCTGATTTCTATTTGTTCTTCAGGCAGGCTACAACTCCACTGATCAGGCCAGGCTTCTGGAACTCCGGTCGGCACATTCCAGTCATGTTTGGGAGATGACACCCTGGACATCCTGATCAGACATAGGTGTTGCCCCAATCCCAGTCACCCACCAGGACACGGGCCATCTTTGAAGGATGCTTCTTCCCCAGAGAGCACATCACGTTTCTGACATGGCGAGTCATTTTGGTTTCAGCCCAGAATGTAATGTCACTTCCAGGTTGGACAGGTACCTCCCTGTCAGTCACTCCCTGATTTATAATAATGAATAAAAGTTACCATATACTGGAACTTCCGTCCTAGATCCTGTGCTGGGCACGGGCTCTGGTAAGACTCAAAAGAACTCTGTGAGTGAGGGGCTTTCATCTCATTGTACAGATGAGAAAACTTGGGTCAACTTGCCCAGGGATATGCAGCAAGTTAAGCCTGGGCCGTTAAACAGAAGACCCTGTCGCTGCAGCCCACGGGTCTTCTTAACCCCAATTTAGGAGTGAGCAAACTGAGTCTAGGTTATTCCCCGAGGCTGCCACCACCCAAGTTCATGAAGCTAGCAAGTGGGAGAAGCTAAAATGTGCTGTATCTCGCTGATCCTGGCCCCGCCTCCCTGACTTACACCCTGACACCCTCCCCACAGGCCCCTCCCTGACTTGTGTGCTTGGCGGTCCTCACTCCCACTCCCCCATTGTACTCCACACTGCAGCAAATACTTGTGGCAATTCCAAGAACCTGTAAGAATGTTCTCTCTTGCCCTGGGGCCTTTGGACAGGGTGTACCTTCCCATGCATTTGCCTGGCACAGGCCTACTCATTTAGATGTCACCTCCTCCAGAAAGCCACCCCTGAGCACTCCAGTCCAAGTACCCTTTCAGGTGCTTCCTTGGTTCATCCTGGCGTGTATCACATGGCATCGTGGTTGCCTGTCTTCTCGCCACTTCCCCTCCCCTGCAGGGCTGCGAAGCCTAAGCGAGGGCCATGTGTGCCGATGGTGAGGTCCTCAGCATGCAGCACGGTGGTGGGCACAGAGAAGGTAGTCAGTAAGCATCTGTTAAATGAATGCCTGATTATCAGCTGTGTTCTGCTTTGTTTGGAGAATACAGCTTAGGTGCACTAAGTGTGGGAGGATATAAAATGACAGCAATGTGGCTTCCTGTCTATCCTACTAAGAGGGCACAGTGGGCGAATGCTCCGGGGTCATCCCGGGCTCAGTGCTCTCGTGTGAAAACCATGGTGTCCTCCTTGCTAAAGCAAAGTCTCAGACTACTGTTTTCTCACTCCCAGGCAGAAACAAACCATGTTCTGAGTGACTGGAGTCATTGCTCACAACACCAGGAGCTGGTTTAGGGTGGAGCGAGGGGCAGTGGCCTTGGGGCTCCAGTCTCTAAAGGCCCAGGCCTCTGGGCTGGGGGGAGGGGTGAAGAGTGGCAGGTCCTGTCCCCGGGAGGCTGCAGTCACTGGGGGAGAGACAATGGGGCTCAGCATCTGCTCCTCGCTGGGAGAAGGGACCCTCCAGTGAAAAGCCAGGGAGAGCAGGGAAGTGTGGGAGGAATTGATGAGGAGAAGGGGTGGAGCCAAGGAGAAGCAGCCGGGAGGAAGGAAGAGAAGGGGAAGGAAGAGAAGAGGGAGGGGTGAGGATTCCGGCTTTCCTTCCTCTCGGTGACCCGGTCCTGGGCGGCAGCCTGCTCTGGCATTGTTTCCTGCGGAAACTCTCGAGGCCCACGAAGACCTCACGTTTCTCCCCACAACCGCTAGCAGCAGCCCCCGTCCAAGGGTCAGGCATCCAGCAGGTGCTCAATACTCACTTGGGAAAATGAGAAACGGGGCCAACTTTGCTCTGGGAACTTTTCCCTTGTCTTCTCCCCACTTCTCCGGAGAAGCTGAGGGCAGAGCAGGTCTTGGGAGCACGCCCAGGCGCCCCATGAATAATTGACCCTTCCTGGCGGCTCTGCCCGGCTCAGTCCGAGGACTCGCGACCGGCCCAGCGTCGGAGTTGAGAAGCGGCTCCGAGCGGCGGGCGTTCCGGAGGTTGGAGGCCGAAGGTCCGGCCTGCCCCGGAGCGGGGTCTGGGGCGGGGGGGCGGGGGGGGCCAGGCTGTGCCAAAGCCCGCGACCCCGCGGGGAGGCGCCTGGGGCCTGACCCCCCGCGCCGCGAACGGCCACGCCTCGGCGCCCCCCAGCCGTGCGCCCGGGGGGGGGGGCGGGGGCCCAGGCCCAGAGATCGGAGAGCCCACGGGGGGCCGATCCCAGCGCCTGCTCCGAGCCCCTTCCCACCCCGGCCCGGGCGCTCGCAGCCCGCGCCGCTCCCTCGAGCCTGGCCGTCCAGGGCTCTGCAAACAGCTGTTTAAAGGCTCTTTTACAGTTCAGTGCTCTGCGGGGATGTTTGTTCCAAGCCCATCTGCCTACTTTAAAAATACATAAGTAAAGAACACACCCAGCTTTCCACCCCTGGCTGGGGAGGGGCGGACTCGGCGGCCCCCGCCCGCACTTCGGAAGGAACCGGCACCCAGCCGCCGCCGGGGCCCCCGCCCCCACCCCCACCGACCCTCCTCTCGGGAGGACGCCCCGGGCTTCCCAGGGGGGAGGGGGCGCGCAGCCCCCGGGCCCCCTTTGTGCGGGGCCGGGCCCCCCATTTCCATGCGAGGTTCTGGCGCTCCCCCTCTCCCCCGCTTCAGTTAATCTTTGTTCCCCTTTTCTGCTGAGCGGAGAAAAAAAAAAAAAGAGAGAAAGAAAGAAAAGGAGGAAAAAAGGCGTGACTTGATTTTCAAACGAAACTCCCACAGCAAACAAAACCCTTTTAGAGAAATAAGAAAGGAGGAAGAAGGAAGAAAAGAGGGAAGGAAAAAAAAGGAGAAAGAAAACCCTCCAGGCTTTCAATTTGAGTGGGAGAGTTGAACCGAAAGAAAGAGAAAGAAAGGAAGAAAAATCCTCTCTGCGGTAGAAAGAGAAAAGAAAACTTGGGCTGACAAGAGGGGGGTGCTGGGGGGGGTGGAAGGAAGTGAGAAAACAAAAGAGAGATAAAAGGGCTGCTTTTCTGTCTCTCTTCCTCTGCGAGCTGGGTTAGGAGGAGCTGTTTTGCATCCCTTCACGTCAGCCCTGCCTCATTCCCTTCTTCCAGGGAGGGAGAGCGAGCGAGCGAGCGAGCAGGAGAGAGAGAGCGAGAGAGAGAGGGAGAGAGAGGAGGGAGAGAAAGAGAGGAGCCGGAGGGAGGGCGGCAGGAGCAGGCGGCGGGCGCGCGTGGAGGCGGGCGGCGGGCGCGCAGCAGCAGCCCGGGCGGTGGGCAGCCAGGAGCCCCCGGCCCGGCCCCGGCCCCGGCCCGCCGAGGGCCCCAGCGCAGGAGCCGCGCCCGGAGCAGGGTGAGTGTCCCGCGCGGCCCCCGGCCCCCGGCCCCGCAGCCCCGGGCGGCGCGCCGGCGGGGGCGCGGGGGGCGCGGGGGTGGGTCGAGGCGGCCGCGGCCGACCCGCCCCCCGCCTCTCCCCGGGGACGGCCGCGCGCAGGCCCGCGCCGCGCTGCAAACATGTCGTCTTTTCCTTTCACTTCCACATTCCCTCATGCCGGGGAGCTGGAGGGAGAGAGGGAGAGCCGGGGAAAGAGGGAGAGATGGCGTCTGGGGGGGGAGGGGAGGGAGCGAGCGAGCGAGCGAGCGAAAGAGGGCGAGAGCGAGGAGAGCGCGCGAATGAGAAGAGAGAGAGGGAGGAGAGAGAGGGAGAGAGAAGCAGAAATGAAAGGAAAGCGCCGCGGCGGCGGCGGCGGCGGAGCGGGAGGCCGGGGAGGCGGCGGCGGCGGCGGCGGCTCCCGGGCCCGCACGTGGGTGTCCCGGCGCCCCGCGCGCTCCCCCCACACCCGGCCCGGGACTCAAAGTTTCACCCCCTCGCCGCGCCGCCCCGCCCCTGCGGCTGCCCACAAACTTTATTCTCCGGGGGGGGGGGGGGTGCTGCGCGTCCCCGCCGTCCCGGGGGGGGGGGAGGGCCGAGCGCGCCGGCGCGGAGGAGTGGGGGTAAGCGGGGGCGCCCCGGAGGGCAGCCGGCGGCCGCACGCCGTGCGCTGCTGGACCCCGGCCGGGCCGGCGTCGGGGCGCCCCGGGCGGGGGACCTGTTGAAGGCGCTCGCCGGCTGGCGGGGTCCCCACGGCCTGTCCCCAGGCTCCCTAGTCTCACTTCCCCTTCCTCGTCGCCCCTCTCTCTGTCTCCTCGCGGTCATTTTCCTAATTGGACAGAGCTGTGGGGTGTGATCGCCGGCGTCAGACTAGGGGGCCAGGAGGCTGCCGGGTGGGCGCGGGGACCCGGGGACCGACGGGGCAGCCCCTGCAGGCGCGCGGATCCCACAGATCCGGCCCTGGTGCCCCCGTCCCCCTAACTGCGGACTTGCCAACTGGTGCGTATCGGGTTTTTTTCCAACTTGCCTCTTAAGATGACTTTTATGGTCGCTGCAACGGCTTCCCTCCAGTCTGAGCTGTAGTTTGGGAAGATTTAAGAGGCCAGGGAGGTGCTGGCGTGGGTTTTAACTAACCCGAAACGGTCCTTGGTGTATCTCTAAGCTCTGTGTTGGTTGGGGCAAAGGCAGAGCCGTAGCCTGGGTGCGTTTTCACAGGGACACTGCGAGGTGCTCGTCCTTCCCAGTCTGAGCGGTCCAGTGAACGACCATCCTGGTAGCCCACCTTTGAGCTGCAGGCTGAGCGCCCTAACTGCTAAGAACACCCTGAGCGCCTTTATTTCTGTGCAAAGTGGAAACTCCTAGCAGTTGTCGACCTGGAGGGGACGTAATCGGTTCCCGTGGGCGCCTGGGAAATTCACAGAAATTCCCCCACAGGTGTGCAGAGCAGGACTTTGCACCCTTGGGGGTCACCCAGCCAACTTTGAAGCTATTTGAGTTCTGCCTTTGTACACGTGTAAGCAAAAACAGTCAAAGTTCATTTCTCCCAAGTAGAGGGGGCCCCTGGGCCTGCATCCCTGTTGTGCTCTTATCTGGGGGCCTTCAAAGGACCGAGTCTTATGGGAGAAGGGAAGAAAACCACGCCTAATTGTCATTAGCCGTTAGAAAGTGTGTTTTTAGTGTTTGTGATCAAGCCATGGGCCTGTCCAGTTTTGGTTTTTTGAGACCTAGTATGATTGTACCTTCTTGTTTGTTTTAAAGTGAATATTGTTTTCTAGAGCTTTCTTGGTGGTTTTGTCAACTGGCCCATGGGCCACCTGTCACCCTGGACCAAGCACCTGCCTGACCCCTAATTGTTGACCTATAGCTCTAGCTGCATTCGTGCTCCCGAAACCTGCAGGATCTGGCTTTCTCACACGAGGGCACTGGAAATAGAGCTGCTTTCTTCTGAGTAGGGGGAGCTGGACATTTGGGTCACATTTTCTTTCCTGCAGTCTCGCCTGGTTGCCCGCCTGTCTATGGAGGGAGATGCAATGAGTTGAAGTGAGGGCAGGTGCTCACTCTTCTCCAGGCAGATTCTTAGGTGGGTCCTTATCCTGTGGTGTGTGGCCAGCAGGCCATTTGTTCCGTACTTGGGTCACTTCCATTCCAACCAAGCATTTCCTACCAAGGAGACTTATTTTAGTCTCGCTGTCTAGAGACAAGGAGACAGACAAGGTCTGGAAGGGTTCTTGAGTTGAAGGAAGGGAGACTAATGGGTCCACCAGAGATTTTGCACTACTTCTATTTTAGGTTTGCCTTGTAGCCCAGAGATATTTCTGTCGGAGTCTGCTTAAAAAGTTCAAGTTTGAAGTTAGAAGGGAGTAAATAAACAAAGGAGAAGTCAAGTGTGTCTCGGAGGATGCTCCCCACAGGCTCCTCATCTGGCTTGCTCACCACCGGGTCCCAGGCCTGGGGCTCATGTTGCTCAATTAAGGAATCTCTGAATCTGCTGAGTCTCATGTTAATGATGGTTGATCTCAACCCTTAGACTTCAAAGCTGGAAGACACCTTAGAGATTGTCTAAGAGAAACCGAGGCTCCATGCCTGGGGCCACACTCTGTTGACAGAGCCAGCATTTGAATGTGAGCTTTCAGAGTCCATTTCCAGTGCTCTTCAACACAAGGCCAGGGCCTCTCTTCCTGCTGGAGGTCCCGAATCAGGCTCTGTACAAAGAGTGTGGCTCTGAGAATAAAGAAGCCATGGGTGTCTGCTACCTGCAGGGGACAGGTAATCGGAGCACCTTATTGCCCGGGTTTGTTACATACATACTGTTCTGGAGGATTTGACAGGCCAGCTGCTAGGGGGAACCCAGGACCAAAGGCCCCCCATTCCGTGGAGCAGCATTTTCATCATGGGGTTATTCCCAAGTCACACTCAGCACTTCTGGATCTGATGCTTTCTTCATGCTTTGTACTTGTGTGCCATTTATTTAGGATTGGTCTGCGGAGAAGAATGGGTGTGTAAGGAAGAGCCAGAGACCTGAACTGATGTCTGTTCATGGGTCAGATCTCCTACTAGAATGTTAGCTCGTGAGGGTAGAAAGTCTTTGTTCATTGCTGAGCCCCTGTGCCCACGTGGTGGGCCCTCGATAATTCTTGGTGAGTAAGTGTCCTGGGCATTGGGAGAAAGACCTCCCTCCCAGAAGGAACCCGTGAGTGACACACAGAGGCGGGGATGGGAAGGTGATTGATGGGACCTGCAGAGTTTTGCAGTGAGTCATGGCTTCAGACAAGCTCTAGACAGGTAAGGCAGGAGCAGCTGGGAAGAGTCGATCCTAAATAGATGGAGCCACGGGGTAGAGATTGTGCAAAACAATAGAGAGATCTCAAATTGCGCTGGATAGAGGGAGAATAGTAATAGTCATGTATCTGGGGCCAGGCTTGTACTCTGTGTGTGTATCATGTCCCTTAGTATTCCCATTTGGCAGATGGGGAAACTAGAGCATAGTGGAGTTGAGTCACTTGCTGAAGGACACAGAGCTGATCCCTGAACCTGGGCTGTCTGGCTTCAGACTTTGCCTCCCTAGAGCTGAGCACTCAGAGCTTTGGAGTTCCTCAAAACGATGGCAGCAGAAAAACTCAAAAAGAAACTGTTGGTCTGCAGTGGCGTGAGGCTGGTCAGGGGGCGTGCCCCCCGCTCCCGATGCCAGAGCCCGCACAGTGCCCAAAGACCGTTTACCCAAGGAAGATTCGAAGGGAATGCTTCTTTGGGAGGCCTAACCATTCCCCAAGTAGAGTGGCTAGTACAGATCCGGGACTATTTTGCACTTGATAAACATTTAGGAGACGTTTTTCTCTTGAAGTATGCTTTTCAACTTAAATTTTAGTTGGTATGTATTTGAAACTGCTGGGAATTCTAAAGCTAAAAGTATCACTGTTGGCCTTGAGGCCTCCAGAAGGTGTTTTCCACAGGTGTAAACCTTCCCTTTCTACTTGAGGATGCTGGTCCAGGCTATTCCAGAGCACAACAGCTCCCCTTTTATTGACAGTGTGATTTGCCAGGCTCTGTGCTGGTCCCGACCTCATGGAGCTTGTAGTCTCCCTGGGAGACAGACACTGAACTAATAATTACACAAATACTCTTTAATTACAGTTGTTACAAACGCTTCAAAGGGAAAAGTACAGAGGCCATGGGAGCTGATAATCAGGGAGGATGGAGGGGAAGAGAGGCTTTCCTGAAGAAAGGGCATTTAAACAGCCACAGGAAGGGTGGGTGAAGAGGCTTTAGCCAGGGTGGGATAGTCCATTAACCTTGATGTAAACCCTTGCTACTCCTAAGTGGTCCGAGCACCCGCAGCATCAGCATCTCGGCCCGGGAGCCTGCTAGAAATGCAGAAACTGCATTTTCACTCAACTCACCTGCACGGTAAAGTCTGAGAAATGCCGAAGGAATCCAAGTACTGAACCAGGAGGTTCTCAGCTTGGCTGTGAATGAGTGGGGTGGCCACTGGGAAAGTCACTTCTCTGGTTAATGAGGGAATTAGATCATTTCATGAGTTCCTTCTGGCTTCTGTCATCTTTGGCTTTTGCTGGTTTGCGCTGTTTCCAAGCTTATTAAGAGTGAGGGCCCGGGCGTCTGCCGCATCCACCTCTGCGGGGCCTTGGGTGGGGGGCCCAGCAGGCACGGGGTCCGTGCAGTGGCCTGGCTTCAGTAGATGCTGCACAGCGGCCCGACCATCAAGAGCTTTGGGGAAGGATCAGAATAATTTGCAAAGAGATGTAGAGCTTTGTTGCATACAGAGAGATTGTCTTAAGGTGACCCAGGGAGGATTTGGCCTGAATCGAGAGCAAAAGGGGCAAGGGTCAGAAGGGCTTTGGGGAAGAAAGGTGTAACATTTCTGCCAAAAGCGGAACCTGAAACGGGGTTGTTGCTCAATAGTCCATTGCTTGTGAACATGAGACTTGAAGCGTTGCCACAGAGTTTCGCGCCTGAGATCCTCACATCAGTGTGGAGAGGACCAGAGGGCTGAGAGCGGTCCTTGAGCCTTGCAGTATGGGGCGCGGGGAGGCAAGGGGGTACTTGAGATACACGAGCAGCTGTGCAGAGGATTATGGGGTTGTGTGTGCACTTCGCTGGGGAGAGGACCCATAGCTCTCGCCAGCCTCAAAGGGGTCTGTGGCTTCCCCAAACTATAGGACAGATGCCTTTCTGAACTAGTCTCACCCCACTCTCTTATGACCCAGCACTTACTATGGACCAGGCACCATTGTAAGCACTTTCCATATTATCTGGTCATTTAGGTTGAATGACTTTCCGGAGGTCAAGCGTCAGAACCCGGCCTGGCGCCCGATGGGTGGGCCCCAGGGCGTCCCTGCTCACAAAGCCTCACTTCGTTAACAGGGCAGGTGGGAGTCGTTAACAGGGCAGGTGGGAGTCGGGGAGAACTCCTTTGGTAGAACAGAAATGGAGATTACAGAGGCCCCTACGATTACAAGTTAAGTGTCTCCCAGTTAGTTGCTCATGCATAAAACAGACAGGTTTTTCCCAAGGAAACAGGTTACACGTTGCACCAGGTTGCCGGGCTGGCCCATGAGATCCTGTGTCACCGTTGGGCCCAACTCATTTTTGTTTGCTCAAAAAAAGAAAAGAAAAGAAAAAATTAGAAAACAAGATGGCCGCAGTACTGCAGGCAAAATTTAAAATTCTAGCATTGGGGCGCCTGGGTGGCTCAGTTGGTTAAGCGACTGCCTTTGGCTCAGGTCATGATCCTGGAGTCCCGGGATCGAGTCCCGCATCGGGCTCCCTGCTCGGCGGGGAGTCTGCTTCTCCCTCTCCCGCTCCCCCTCTTGTGCTCTCTCTCTCTCTCTCAAATAAATAAATAAAATCTTTAAAAAAAAAAAAAAATTCTAGCATTGGGCAGGAGATCCTTGAAGATGTGCACTGTTGAATAAGGGGTGAGGTGGGGGCAAGAGATTGGGGTAGATTCCTAAAGGGGGATTAAAGGATGTGAGAAGCCACAGCAGGGCCAAAAACGTATGTCGAATCAGCAGCTTCAAAAGGTAAAATGACTGGTTCTTATTACTTACTAATTAACGTGTGTAGCTCGCAGACCTGACCCTTCCCCCATCCCCAAGTGCGTTTACCCTCAAGTACAGAGGCCTTTTGTTTTCTCTTTAATTCATTTCTGTAATACGTGAATTTTTATCAGTATATATTATCTTTATAATCTATATATTTATAAATGGAGTAAAAGGACTATTAGAAGTGGGTCGACCTCTAAGGGGGTTTTAATTCTGTCTTCTGCAACCGTCACGGTAAAGGCGTTTCTGATGTTACACCTATGTGCTCTATTGTGTGTATATTTGGGGAGCACGGAGAGAGGCGTTGGAATCGTGAGGGTTTTCAATGCAGTCGGAAGCTGAGAATAGGGGATCATGTTGTGGCCAGACTGCTTTCCCTTTCTTCCTTCTGTGTCCCCAGTGTGTAATAAGTAGGGGATCAAAATCCGGTAAGAATGATCACCACAGAAATCAGGAATGTCCACGCTCCAGATTTACACGGGAAACTAACTTCTGTGATGACTCTTGGTTACGTGTGGTTTGTCTTCTGGGTCATGTCTGAACGCATCCATGACGCCATCTTGTTCCCAGTAGGGCAGCCATGGAATGGGCTATCCTGTGTGCATTCGGTAAAAAACAAGAGCCAAACCTCAGTGGTGGTTTTGTGCACCATATCACAACGTCCTCACAAGGACCACATCCACGCCAGCCTCTTGAAAAGTATCAGGTACCCTTTGGAGGCTGGTGGTGCTGGTAGGCTAACCCCACCCTGTGACGTTTGATGCTGGGGCCCCCGGAGCTTACATGCCTCACCTCCCGTCACTAGCCACAGACCACGAGTTCACTGTGGACTTGCCATTACCTGAAAGCAGGACGCCATTGAAATTCAGAATTCTTCCCATCCCCCACCACTGCACAGCCGCTCCTAGAAACACTCCTGCCCCAAGCTGGGAAGCCTATGCCTACCACTGGGGGAGCATGCCTACCATCAGTCCCAGCCCTAGATCCCCTGTGTCCTGCCCCCAGCTGCCTCCCTAGGCCTGAGCATCCCACATCCTCCTTTGGCCCTGCCTCTCCCCAACTCCCATATCACTCTCTCCCCCCTAGGACTTTCAGAGAAGAGTTCACCCTTTCTGTCCCTGCTTCTTCTCTCCCTTCTTCTCTCCAGCTCTGAAACAGCAGAGTATTTCACTCCCCATTCCTACCTGTGTTTGCAGAGGCCTCTGGCCCACCCTCTAATCACACCTGGCAGTCCGTTTGGGGGCCTCTACTTACCTGACTTCTCCGTGGCAGATACTGTTATGGACCGTGTTGGCTTGTCACTGTGGGCCCTCTTCCTACCTCTCTGATCCTACTGTTTTCTGCCATTCCCTCCTCTCCTAGCTACACTTTGGTGCCTCAGCCAGGGTTCTCTGCTGCCC